TCTGTGGGATCTATGGGGCTGTGGGATCTATGGGGCTGTGGGGTCTATGGGGCTGTGGGGTCTGTGGGATCTATGGGATCTATGGGGCTGTGGGATCTATGGGGCTGTGGGGTCTATGGGATCTATGGGGCTGTGGGGTGGAGTTATCCCTTTGGGATCTATGGGGCTGAGCTGTTCCTATAGGGCCGAGTCACCCCAATGAATCTATGGGGCTGAATCACCCCGATAAATCTATAGGGCCGAGTAACCCCAATAAATCTATGGGGCAGAGCCATCCCTATAGGACCGAATCACCCCGATAAATCTATGGGGCAGAGCCGTCCCTATAGGACCCAATCACCCCGATAAATCTATGGGGCAGAGCCGTCCCTATAGGACCGAATCACCCCGATAAATCTATGGGGCAGAGCCGTCCCTATAGGACCGAATCACCCCGATAAATCTATGGGGCAGAGCCGTCCCTATAGGACCGAATCACCCCAATAAATCTATGGGGCTGAATCACCCCGATAAATCTATGGGGCAGAGCCGTCCCTATAGGACCGAATCACCCCAATAAATCTATAGGACCGAATCACCCTGATGAATCTATGGGGCAGAGCCGTCCCTATAGGACTTATTCACCCCAATGCATCTATGGGGCAGAGCCGTCCCTATAGGACTGAATCACCCTGATGAATCTATGGGGCTGAATCACCCCGATAAATCTATGGGGCAGAGCCGTCCCTATAGGACCGAATCACCCCGATAAATCTATGGGGCAGAGCCGTCCCTATAGGACCGAATCACCCCGATAAATCTATGGGGCAGAGCCGTCCCTATAGGACCGAATCACCCCGATAAATCTATGGGGCAGAGCCGTCCCTATAGGACCGAATCACCCCAATAAATCTATGGGGCTGAATCACCCCGATAAATCTATGGGGCAGAGCCGTCCCTATAGGACCGAATCACCCCAATAAATCTATGGGGCTGAATCACCCCGATAAATCTATGGGGCAGAGCCGTCCCTATAGGACCGAATCACCCCAATAAATCTATGGGGCTGAATCACCCCGATAAATCTATGGGGCAGAGCCGTCCCTATAGGACCGAATCACCCCAATAAATCTATAGGACCGAATCACCCTGATGAATCTATGGGGCAGAGCCGTCCCTATAGGACTTATTCACCCCAATGCATCTATGGGGCAGAGCCGTCCCTATAGGACTGAATCACCCTGATGAATCTATGGGGCTGAATCACCCCGATAAATCTATGGGGCAGAGCCGTCCCTATAGGACCGAATCACCCCGATAAATCTATGGGGCAGAGCCGTCCCTATAGATTTCGGGGTCCCCGTGCTCACCTGGAAGGGGATGACGAGGTTCACCTGCTCCCCCACCTTCCTCACGTACGTCTGCCGCAGGTGCCGGGGCAGGCGGATTTTGGGGCGCTCTGGGGGGGGTCGGGAGATATTTGGGGTGGGGGGGGGGGAAATCTATGGGGCAGAACCCCCCACCCCCCATTTTTGGGGTCTCCCCCGGGTTTGGGATCAGCGCCCCCCACCCCCACCCCCGATGGTTTTAGGTTCTCCTTCCCAAAGTTTCAGGGTCCTCCCAATTTTTGGGGTTCCCTCCCCGTTTTTGGGTTTCTCCCCACATTTTTGGGGTCCCCTCCTCATTTTTGGGGTCCCGTTTTTGGGGTCCCCTCCCCATTTTTGGGGTCCCCTCCTCATTTTTGGGGTCCCGTTTTTGGGGTCCCCTCCCCATTTTTGGGTTCCTCTCCCCATTTTTGGGGTCCCGTTTTTGGGTTCCTCCCTCAATTTTTGGGATCCCTCCCATTCTTGGGGTCCTCTCCCCATTTTTGGGTTCCTCTCCCAATTTTTGGGATCCCTCCCATTCTTGGGGTCCCCTCCCCATTTTTGGGTTTCTCTCCCCATTTTTGGGGTTCCCTCCCCATTTTTGGGCTCCACTCCCCATTTTTGGGGTCCCGTTTTTGGGGTCCCCTCCTCATTTTTGGGGTCCCGTTTTTGGGTTCCTCCCTCAATTTTTGGGATCCCTCCCATTCTTGGGGTCCCCTCCCCATTTTTGGGTTTCTCTCCCCATTTTTGGGGTCCCCTCCCATTCTTGGGGTCCTCTCTCCATTTTTGGGTTTCTCCCCCCATTTTTGGGTTCCTCTCCCCATTTTTGGGGTCCCGTTTTTGGGTTCCTCCCCCAATTTTTGGGACCCCTCCCATTCTTGGGGTTCCCTCCCCATTTTTGGGTTTCTCTCCCCATTTTTGGGGTTCCCTCCCCATTTTTGGGCTCCACTCCCCATTTTTGGGGTCCCGTTTTTGGGGTCCCCTCCTCATTTTTGGGGTCCCGTTTTTGGGTTCCTCCCTCAATTTTTGGGATCCCTCCCATTCTTGGGGTCCCCTCCCCATTTTTGGGATCCCCTCCTCCTTTTTGGGGTCCCGTTTTTGGGTTCCCCTTCCCATTTTTGGGACCCCTCCCATTCTTGGGTTCCCCTCCCCATTTTTGGGTTCCTCTCCCAATTTTTGGGATCCCTCCCATTCTTGGGGTCCCCTCCCCATTTTTGGGATCCCATTTTTTGGCTTCCCATCCCCATTTTTGGGGTCCCCGCTATTTTCGGGACCCCCCTCATTTTCGGGACCCCCCCTTTAATTTACTCCCCCCCTCATTTCCGCGACCCCCCCCCCTTACAAATCCCCCCCCATTTCACCCCAAACCCACCCCCCCAAAATTTCGGGGTGTCCCCCCCCCCCCTAAAACCCCCGCGGCTATTTTGGGGCGTCGCCCCCACTC